TGGATGTATCGAGGAACTTTCCATAGAGTAAGCAATTGATAATTTATAATTTAACTAAATTTGTTAAGTTTAATAACCAACTATGACTGATTACATCAAGTATTTACATTTACTTACATCCTTAATTTAGCCTTAGACTATAAATTGTCTTTACAACAATTGTTATATTGCTTTGAATGCTTTCCTATAAACTGTGTTAATATGATCCTGACCCTCCCTGTTAACTTCTTTCTGGGAGGAAAACAGAGTGCGGTGCCTAAAGAAAACCTGTGACTTTCAGAGACTGTGCATAGCTAGGATTGAACCCATGATGCCAGAGGTGGAAGGCATTTCCTTCAAATGACAACTTTGCCACCACTATGTAATCATAGTGTTGTGTCAGCATAAAACTACAATTTATTACACATAGTTTGCAGTTTGTTATCGGTATTATAAAGTTGCAAACAAAATAATTGTGTGCTGTGCCATAAATCAGCTCATTTTTAATGCAGGTATATAGTTTCTATGTTGTTTAGATATGGCAATGAATGATATCCTTGTTGAAGCAAATAATTTTTTAAGCAATTGGAAATGTGGTTGTCAACAAAAGAAACGAACCTGGCATGAAAGACGAAATATACTAAATGAGAGCTCGGAGGGAGTCAGAAGTGGTTTAATGGAAACTTTGCTTCAGACTAAATTTGCTATTGGCAGATTTGATGATATTTTATGTGAGAGCTGTAATGATGCCAGGGCAGTTATCCAGTGTGAGGACTGCTATTTAAAAATATATCTTTGTGGGAATTGTGATGTGGAGATGCATAAAACCATCCACTTCATGACCGAGATGCGATTTTGAATGGTTTTCATGAACCTATTCCTTCAACAGTCTCAATTAACAGCAAACAGGAATGGATTACTGTTGGTAAATACTTGTAGTACAACTTAGTATATGTAACCTATACCTCACTGTATGTGTCTCAAAATCTGATAATAGTGAGGCTCTCTCCTTAAAATCAACAGCAGATTAATTGTATTAGCCACTCTAACTAAGGGACCGATAATTTTTTTAGAGGGGGGGGGGCTGGTGCAAATGGGGAAGGGGTCATACCTTTTTGTGCACTTGAAAATGGGGGGTTGCATAAAATTCTGCAACCATTTTTGGGGTCATACATTTTTGTGCATTCCATTTTCCTATATATTCTACAAAAGAAAACAGCACTGAAGGGATCAACCACAGTCAAATTTTTAATATTTATATGAAAACAAAACAATGTAGTGACAACTACAAGCATAGGCATTACAAAGTCGAAAAGTCGGGCAAATGTTCAACAAAAGTGGGGCAAAAGTCGGGCAAACCAAGCTAGTTGAGCAATATTCTCTTCACAGTCGTGCAATATTGGGTTATTATAAAAATAAATGGGATAAATTCTGCGAATTTTGCGGGAAATAATGTAAATTTTGCAATGTTTGGGAAAATTTATTTGATGTTCCGAAAAATTTAGGTGTGTCCGAAAAATTTTTGGACCCCTAAAATGGTACACTGACCGAAATTTTTTTGGCGAGAGGGGGAGGGGGGGAGGTCGCCAAAATTTATTGTTCCGGAAAAAAAATTATAAACTGAGGGTGGGCCATGCCATTTCATGTGCACTCCCTTGGGGGGGGGGGCACATTATTTTATGCAGTGACAGGAGCAGGGCCATATGAAATTATGTTGAGGAAAATGAAAATCCACCAGCCCACCCCCCCCTTCTCTAATAAATGACCGGTCCCTAACATCATTGTTAAACCATTATCTAATGTCAGTGATTATCTAGTGCCTCTCTCAGATAAAAAGTGCTGCCATTTAGTTGGTTTAATATTGTTTTTAAAATATGGTTTATTTTGTAGAACAATTCCTTCCATCTGGTAATGTAATTTGTCCCACATGCCTATCGCCTTGTAATATGTCATATGATGATGAGGGTATACATTGCATTGCTATGACATTAAAAGGTACACTGTCTTATTTATACCTTAATTTATTCTGTAAAACTTTGGCCCTTTGAAAATGACCTCCATAATTTTATAGCCTGTCAACCTACTAGGTTTTGCTGACCTCATTTTGCTCATATCAACTCAAGGGTTTTTGAATGCAAATAGCAGTTCAAAAACCCAATGAGGTTTTGCCAAACTGCATTAGAATTAGGAGTTCCTGCATTTATTTTAACTTTTTCAAGGAAGTGTCAAAGCATTATTGCAATATTGTTATACATTATAAGATGTTTCTCACTTTCTCTCAGGATTGTTCTAAAATCTTAATGCAATTGAAACACTTTACATCCTCCTATATGTGTCATGGATGGATTTTGTGGGGTGGGTGGGTGCAGGGGGGTGCTACAACCCAATATTAGCTATAACCCCCCAAACAAAATGTCCACCCTCCAAAAAATTTTCAACCTGCCCCCCCCCAATATTCGGCATAATAAAAAAGTCCACTCCAACGTGCAGAGTGTTGATGATACAAAATAAACGTAGGAGTACACTCAAACAGAAATTGCATTCACTGGTTTATTGGAGCAATTGTAAAGTTTTGAAATGCTATTATCTCCCCTGAATAGAGTTTGCAGTGCCTTGTCATGCAAATAGCTTGCTTGCAAGGAACGTTTGGAAATTTTACGAACATTATTTTTAGTTTTTAATTCTTTTAGGAAATAGTCTTGCCTAGATTTAATCTTTACGTCCCAAATATTATTTCCATCGGCGTTGCATTATAAATTGTACTTGGATTCAAATGACACAATGTCAATGATTTTATAAAAGTAAAAGCATATTGTGTATCAGGCCTATTGGGTTAATTTACACTTTTACAGGTTCATTTAACTTTAACTCTCTCAAGTCTCGACAGACAATCGGACAGGCCATCCATTGATATGACAACTTCAAAAAACTTTTTTTGAAGCTAGAAATCATGATTTTTTTCAAATTTTTCCAAGGATACTTTGTTTTCTGCTCTCTAGACTCCCACTCGCGGCTCTAGTGCTCCACCCCTAGAATATAGACCTCACTGGGGTTTGGTGACACTTTGTGTTGCTTCAGTCACCTGCTTGCGGCTCACCCCCCTAAAATTTCTGGCACCACCCCAGTAAAAAATATGAAAATCCGTCTATGATATGCGTATCGTAGCTGTAGCATTTAAGTGGCTGCAAAAGTATTTATGCCCTCGTAATTTAATGAACACATATTACCTTTTTTATTGACTAATTTTTGTATATGCTAATTGTTGAACATTTATTGTTATATCTTTAGGCAGATTTGACATTAGTCACACAAAATATGAGTGTCCACAATTTGAGATTGTGCTTTCTTCAACAAATCCATGTGTTATAATACAATTGGGATTTTGGCCTGGAAGTATATCCAACATGACCTATGTTTTTCATCAAGACCTCTTTCATTACTGGGATATTTTGCAGAAGCATGTTCCTCGAACTTCTCAAAATAGTTTTGTGAAATCATTAGAAATCTTTTCTGTACAGAAAGGGCGGGTAAGTTTAAACCAACATGTAATGTAAGTAGGTTATTATACAAATAATGAATGTTTATGAATGCAATGGTAAAAATATTGTCATGAGGTAAAAGATGGATTTTCCATTTTACGAGGCGACAACCAATATGTAATATAAGTACTAGGTTATTATACAGATAATGAATGTTTTATATGAGTGCAATGGTAAAAATATTTTCATTCAGTGAAAGATGGAAAATTCCATCTTTCACCAAATGAAAATATTTTTACTGTTGCACTCATATAAAACATTCATTATTTGTTGTATATGACTCCAAAATTACAAAATTCTGAAAATAGATAAATTTTATCGAATTTTTTAGTGAATTAAATACAAAACAGATATGTATACCTTGTTCAAAAGTACCAACAAAATTGAACAAATATTTTATAGAAGAATTAATATGATATTGGCAGTCATTTATCATAAAAATTGTAGTAAAAATATTCTATGTTTATGCATGTCCGCCATTTTCCTTTTGCATGAGTTATGTATTTGACTAAATTTCATAGGTCTCAGTATTGAATTTATAATTAATAGAGCTATGATTATACGATACGAATTGGATTTTGAATTATTGAATTTAATTAACGGTAGGAGCGTGCAACAATTTTTTACTATTCAAGTAGCAGAATTGAAATTTTAATTGCACATCACGCGATCACGATGAGCCAATTAAATTACCACAATTTAATGCGATTTTTTATATAAACCCTCTCAAAGTTTACCTTCTGTATGCTAAAACCTCCTGGTGACTTTGTTTGAAAGTTATTAATAGTGTATTAGTTTTGTACATACAGGGTAATCAAAAAAAGGTAAACCTAACAAAAGTGTGTTTTTGCGTGCAAAATATTTCATTACATAATGATGCCATTGCTATCTGGTCAATTATTTACTGTGACTAACGACAGAACAGAACTTTCTTGAAAATTTTTACATTGTGTATAACTACATGTATTTTAATTACAGATGAGAACGATTAACAGCAAAACATTTGGAAGCTCTTTCCGTGAATGGAAATTTTGTCAGTTCGAACTGAAGAAGCTACGGCAGATGAACTGGATGGAGTGTCCTGCATGTGAACAACAGCAACACTCAGTGCACATAGATGGTAATATGAAACTTTATCGGTACAAATCTGCGGGGATGTAAGTATTTTGTATACAGAATAAGCACATGACAATGTTATCACAATGCATTGTAATTATTTCGCATAATATAGCTGTGTATCCTGAAATGTTCAATGCCGTAATTTCAAGCAGGAAGTTGTGACATGTTTCTACGCTACCATAGTTTCCATTTTGTCACATGTTTTCTATTTATAGTATATAAAAAAGTATCTTCCCATGTCCCATGCTGTAACTTCCTGTATGATGAACTGAATTAGGGGCTTTGCTGGAAACTTAAAGATACATTTACAGTAGCTAATTTTCTATCGTGCAGGCAGTTACAACAGCAACCCTAAAATCTTTACAATATCGTATTGTGGGTTGGCTAATGGCTATGAGTTTAATTTTGTTTTTGGAGGAAACGATATGATGATTTCTCATTTCATGTTACATATTGTGTTTGATTACATATACAGTACAGTAATTAAGCAAGCTTTAGCTATAAAATTTGCCTTAGGGGTTCGAAAAACTACTAAATGTTACTGTAATTAAATTTGAACTGAGACTGATCATGGTCATCTGCCCAATGCATACAGTGTGTCTTAGTAATCAGGCATTGCAGCAGTAAGGAATTTCAACCACCTGAAAACATAACAAGAAGAGCTTCGACGTTTCGAGCAAAGGTCCTTCATCGCTACTGCTGTAACTTCCCAATGTACTGTCTTTGCTCCAATCGTCGAAGATCTATTTTTAAGGTAGTAGAATCCCTTACACCGCAACGCCTTACTTTTTTTCTATTTGCTCTGGCAGCGATCGTTCCAGATCTTTGTTTTCGTAATCGTATGTTTTATATAAAGTTAAACTGAAGTTTACTTATTCGTGTTCTGCGTTATTAATTTCTTTTGAAATTGATTGTTTTTATGGACTGTGAATATGAATATATGAATATGAGGCCCCCCCCTTATCGAACTTGCTACGGCACTGACTTTTGATTGTTATACCATTAAGTCTGATAATTGCACCACCAATGGTTCTGGTATCTCTTGTTTTTCCCATCATCATTTCTGTACTCAACTTTACAACATATAATATATTCTTGTTTATTCCAGAATTATCTTACAATTGGGACACCATTGATCACACGTAATTGGGGATTTGTCCTGACTCACCCTGGTTTCCCAATTAAGCCCTAGAGTGACAGCACTCTCCCTTGATGAGTAAATTGTCCGCTGTTAGACAGAGTAAAATAATAATGTAGGGCATATCAGGGTGCATTGCCACTTAAAGGGTTAATCTTGATCTGGGTGGCAAAATACTGCACTACCAAGCAAGATGTATGGAATTGAAGACACAAAATCTGAATTAATTTTGAACCATTTTAATTGGACTTCTTCAATGGAATTATTAACAGTAAATAATTTTAAATTAATTTAAAACTAAAATGCATTATAATTACAGTTAATGTACATGATGTAGTGGAGCATGTCTATTATATTAACTTAATAAAACTTTATACTTTCATATGTTATCTGCATGGTGGGGGGTGGGTGGTTGTGCAGAAAAATTCAGGGGGGGAAGGCGAGGGGCATGTAGCCATAGAATAAGGCACACAGAAGGTCGACTCGAGTAACCACTGCCACACCATGATTCATCATCAAAATGCTGACGCCATGGTCCTAGCCAGTGCGCGTTTAAGAGGCATCCCCCCTGGACGTTCGCCATTTTGAATAATATCAGGGGGTGAATGCCTCTCAAACGCGCACTGGCTAGGACCATGGCGTTAGCATTTGATGACGAATTACAGGTTACGCCTAAATCATAGGAAAACTCAAGAAGTCGGCGTTCTGTGTACCTTATTCTGTGACGTAGCATCCTGAGGAAGATTAACCAAAACACAATATACCAGACAAATATAAAAATATTATTTTATTTGTAATACAATGTTATGAATTGGATTGATCATGTATTACATATGCACATCAGCCTTTACACATGTAAAAAGAATATATTTGTTTATGTTCGCACAACACCCTTTTCTTTTCACAGTTAGGAAATATGGCTGCCAAAGCTCTTGAAAGGTGGCTTTCTACACTAAGATCATCAGTAACAACATCCTCTTGTTTAAGTCTCAACCCATCTGTTTTGATGCATGTAGACTTTAAAGAGCCCTGAAGATCTCCAGGAACAAATGTGCCAACATCACCTGCACATTCAAACAAGCGACTTATTAAAAATACAAGTTCCAACCTTGAACAACTTTCCTGCATTTAGTTCTTGCCTTCTTGGTAATCCCGGACTCTTAGAATCTGGTGTTAGGTCGTGTGTGACGTCAAATGGCAGTAACTTTCTCGCTTTAGGAGTTCTAGGAGTGCTGGTCTTAGGACATTCATCTGAATTTATGGAATTGAAGTCTATAGTTCAGAACGACAAAAATTACAACTTGAAACAAGGCAACATGTTACATGGCGCTAATCAGCCGGGCGTATAATGAATTCCAGTTTCTTAATTTCTTTAGTATACGCAAATTTATGCTACGGCTCAAAGGGTCAACAAATTCAAGACATTCAAGTGGTACAATGAATTATTTTATCTTTTAGACTCACCATCTAAGTTCATCAGAGTCCGCCATTTTCACGTACTTCAGACTTGACCAATTGAAGGCCAAATACTTGATAGAAATACGCACTTTGCAGAGACTACATCATAAAATGATCGATTTATGTATACCAATGTCAAAAAATCCAAAATTGAAGCATAAAATACTAGTTTGCAAGAACAACAATTTCTTGCAAGAAAAATCACAGTAATCTGCCAGTCGCTAAATTTTCTTCTTTCGCCCTTGCAGTGAGCCTCTACGCGCCCACTTCAGGCCGAGCGCCCGCTCGTAAAGCGACTGGGAACGAGTCTGCACTCTGAGGACAAGTTTCATCACTCTGAGGACAAGGTTCTTCACTCTGAGGACAAAGATTCCTCACTCTGAGGACAAGGTTCCTCACTCTGAGAACAAGATTCGTTACTCTGAGAACAAGGTTCTTCATTCTGAGGGCAAGATTCTTCATTCTGAGGACAAGGTTCTTTACTCTGAGGACAAGGTTCTTCACTCTGAGGAAAGGTCCTTCACTCTGAGGTTCTTCACTCTGAAGACAAGGTTCTTCACTTTGCGGACAAGGTTTCCGAGGATAAGTTTCTTCTCACTGAGGTCTAGGTTCTTCACTCTGAGAACAAGCTTCTTCATTCTGAGGACAAGTTTCTTCATTGTGAGGACAAGGTTCTTTACTCTGACGACAAGGTTCATCACTCTACTCGTAGGACAAAGTTCTTCACTCTGAGGACAAGCTTCTTCACTTTGAGGACAAGGTTTATTCACTCTGAGGACAAGGTTCTTTAATCTGAGGACAAGGTTCTTCAATCTGAGGACAAGCTTCTTCACTCTGAGGACAAGGTTCTTCTCTCTGAGGACAAGGTTCCTCACTTCGAGGACAAGGTTCTTCACTCTGAGGACAAGGTTCTTCACTCTGAGGACAAGGTTCTTCACTCCGAGAATAAGTTTCTTCTCTCTGAGGTCTAGGTTCTTCACTCTGAGAACAAGCTTCTTCATTCTGAGGACAAGTTTCTTCATTGTGAGGACAAGGTTCTCACTCGGAGGACAAATGTTCCTCACTCTGAGGACAAGGTTCCTAACTCTGAGGACAACATTCTTTACTCGTAGGACAAAGTTCTTCACTCTGAGGACAAGCTTCTTCACTTTGAGGACAAGGTTATTCACTCTGAGGACAAGGTTCTTTAATCTGAGGACAAGGTTCTTCAATCTGAGGACAAGCTTCTTCACTCTGAGGACAAGGTTCTTCTCTCTGAGGACAAGGTTCCTCACTTCGAGGACAAGGTTCTTCACTCTGAGGACAAGGTTCTTCACTCTGAGGACAAGGTTCTTCACTCCGAGAATAAGTTTCTTCTCTCTGAGGTCTAGGTTCTTCACTCTGAGAACAAGCTTCTTCATTCTGAGGACAAGTTTCTTCATTGTGAGCTTAATCTTTGCACAAAGTTCTTCACTCTGAGGACAAGGTTCGTCACTCTGAGGACAAGGTTCTTCACGCTGAGGACAAGGTTTTTCTCTCTGAGGACAAGGTTCTTTATTCTGAGGACAAGGTTCTTCAATCTGAGGACAAGGTTCTTGACTCTGAGGACAAGGTTCTTCACTCTGGGATAAGGTTCCTAACTCTGAGGACAAGATTCTTTACTCTTAGGACAAAGTTCTTCACTCTGAGGACAAGCAATTTTCTTCGCTCTGAGGAATAGGTTCTTCACTCTGAGGACAAGGTTCTTCAATCTGAGGACAAGGTTATTTACTCTGAGGACAAGGTTCTTCAATCTGACGACAAGGTTCTTCACTCTGAGGACAAGGTTCTTCTCTCTGAGGATAGAGGTTCCTAACTCTGAGGACAAGACTCTTAATCTTTGCACAAAGTTCTTCACTCGAGGACAATGTTCTTTATTCTGAGGAAAGGTTCTTCAATCTGAGGACAAAGTTCTTCACTCTTAGGACAAGGTTCTTCTCTCTGAGGAGAAGGTTCCTCACTTCGAGGACAAGCTTCTTCACTCTGAGGACAAGGTTCTTCACCCTGAGGACAAGGTTCTTCACTCTGAGGACAAGGTTCTTCACTCTGAGGACAAGGTTCTTCACTCTGAGGACAAGTTTCTTTCAATCTGAGGACAAGGTTCTTCACTCTGAGGACAAGGTTCTTCTCTGTGAGGACAAGGTACCTCACTTCGAGGACATGGTTCCTCACCCTGAGGACAAGGTTCTTCACTCTGAGGACATGGTTCTTTATTCTGAGGACAAGGTTCTTCAATCTGAAGACAAAGTTCATCACTCTGAGGACAAGGTTCTTCACTCTGAGGAGAAGGTTCCTCACTTAGAGGACAAGGTTCTTCACTCTGAGGACAAGGTTCTTCACTCTGAGGACAAGGTTCTTCACTCTGAGAACAAGGTTCTTCACTCTGAGGACAAGGTTCTTTATTCTGAGGACAAGGTTCTTCACTCTGAGGACAAGGTTCTTCACTCTGAGGACAAGGTTCTTTATTCTGAGGACAAGGTTTTCTGACGACAAGGTTCTTCACTCTGAGGACAAGGTTTTTCTCTCTGAGGACAAGGTTCTTTATTCTGAGGACAAGGTTCTTCAATCTGAGGACAAGGTTCTTGACTCTCAGGACAAGGTTCTTCTCTCTGAGGACAAGGTTCTTCAATTCTGAGGACAAGGTTCTTCACTCTGAGGACAAGGTTCTTCTCTCTGAGGATAAGGTTCCTCACTTCGAAGACGAGGTTATTCACTCTGAGGACAATGTTCTTCACTCTGAGGACAAGATTCTTCACTCTGAGAACAAGGTTCTTCATTCTGAGGACAAGATTCTTCATTCTGAGGACAAGGTTCTTCACTCTGAGGAAAAGGTTCTTCTCTGTGAGGACAAGGTACCTCACCTCACTTCGAGGACAAGGTTCTTCACTCTGAGGACACGGTTCTTCACTCTGAGGACAAGGTTCTTCACTCCGAGGATAAGTTTCTTCTCTCTGAGGTCTAGGTTTCACTCCGAGGATAAGTTTCTTCTCTCTGAGGTCTAGGTTCTTCACTCTGAGAACAAGGTTCTTCATTCTGACGACAAGTTTCTTCATTGTGAGGACAAGGTTCTTTACTCTGAGGACAAGGTTCTTCACTCTGAGGACAAGGTTCTTCACTCAGAGGTAAGGTTCTTCACTCTGAGGACAAGGTTCTTCACTCTGAGGACAAGGTTCTTCAATCTGACGACAAGGTTCTTCACTCTGAGGACAAGGTTCTTCTCTCTGAGGATAAGGTTCCTCACTTCGAGGACGAGGTTATTCACTCTGAGGACAATGTTCTTCACTCTGAGGACAAGATTCTTCACTCTGAGAACAAGGTTCTTCATTCTGAGGACAAGATTCTTCATTCTGAGGACAAGGTTCTTCACTCTGAGGAAAAGGTTCTTCTCTGTGAGGACAAGGTACCTCACTTCGAGGACAAGGTTCTTCACTCTGAGGACACGGTTCTTCACTCTGAGGACAAGGTTCTTCACTCCGAGGATAAGTTTCTTCTCTCTGAGGTCTAGGTTCTTCACTCTGAGAACAAGGTTCTTCATTCTGACGACAAGTTTCTTCATTGTGAGGACAAGGTTCTTTACTCTGAGGACAAGGTTCTTCACTCTGAGGACAAGGTTCTTCACTCAGAGGTAAGGTTCTTCACCCTGAGGACAAGGTTCTTTATTCTGAGGACAAGGTTCTAAAATCTGAGGACAAAGTTCTTCACTCTGAGGACAAGGTTCTTCCCTCTGAGGAGAAGGTTCCTCACTTCGAGGACAAGTTTCTTCACTCTGAGGACAAGGTTCTTCACTCTGAGGACAAGGTTCTTTATTCTGAGGACAAGGTTCTTCAATCTGAGGACAAGGTTCTACACTCCGAGGATAAGTTTCTTCTCTCTGAGGTCTAGGTTCTTCACTCTGAGAACAAGGTTCTTCATTCTGAGGACAAGGTTCTTTATTCTGCGGACAAGGTTCTTCACTCTGAGGACAAGGTTCTTCACTCCGCGGATAAGTTTCTTCTCTCTGAGGTCTAGGTTCTTCACTCTGAGGACAAGTTTCTTCATTCTGAGGACAAGTTTCTTCATTGTGAGGACAACGTTCTTTACTCTGAGGACAAGGTTCTTCACTCTGAGGACAAGGTTCTTCACTCTGAGGACAAAGTTCTTCACTCTGAGGACAAGGTTTTTCACTCTGAGGACAAGGATCTTTATTCTGAGGACAAGGTTCTTCAATCTGAGGACAATGTTCTTCAGTCTGAGGACAAGGTTCCTCACTCTGAGGACAAGGTTCTTTATTCTGAGGACAAAGTTCTTCAATCTCAGGACAAAGTTCCTCACTCTGAGGACAAGGTTCTTCTCTCTGAGGACAAGGTTCTTCACTCCGAGGATAAGTTTCTTCTCCCTGAGGTTTAGGTTCTTCACTCTGAGGACAAGGTTCTTCACTCTGAGGACAAGGTTCTTCACTTCTGAGGACAAGGTTCTTCACTCTGAGGACAAGGTTCTTCACTCTGAGGACAAGGTTCTTCACTCTGAGGACAAGGTTCTTCACTCTGAGGACAAGGTTCTTTAAATCTGAGGACAAGGTTCTTCACTCTGAGGACAAGGTTCTTCACTCTGAGGACAAGGTTCTTCACTTTGAGGAGAGGGTTCCTCACTTCGAGGACAAGGTTCTTCACACTGAGGACAAGGTTCTTCACCCTGAGGACAAGGTTCTTCACTCTGAGGACAAGGTTCTTCACTCTGAGGACAAGGTTCTTTATTCTGAGGACAAGGTTCTTCAATCTGAGGACAAGGTTCTTCACCCTGAGGACAAGGTTCTTCACTCTGAGGACAAGGCTCTTCACTCTGAGGACAAGGTTCTTTACTCTGAGGACAAGGTTCTTTATTCTGAGGACAAGGTGCTTCAATCTGAGGACAAGGTTCTTCACTCTGAGGACAAGTTCTTATCTCTGAGGAGAAGGTTCCTCACTTCGACGACAAGGTTCTTCACTCTGAGGACAAGGTTCTTCACCCTGAGGACAAGGTTCTACACTCTGAGGACAAGGTTCTTCACTCTGAGGACAAGGTTCTTTATTCTGAGGACAAGGTTCTTCAATCTGAGGACAAGGTTCTTCACTCTGAGGACAAGGTTCTTCACTCTGAGGACAAGGTTCTTTATTCTGAGGACAAGGTTCTTCAATCTGAGGACAAGGTTCTTCACTCTGAGGACAAGGTTCTTCACTCGGAGGACAAGGTTTTTCACTCTGAGGACAAGGTTCTTCACTCTGAGGACAAGGTTCTTCACTCTGAGGACAAGGTTCTTCACTCTGAGGACAAGGTTCTTCACTCTGAGGACAAGGTTCTTTACTCTGAGGACAAGGTTCTTCACTCTGAGGACAAGGTTCTTCACTCTGAGGACAAGGTTCTTCACTCTGAGGAGAAGGTTCTTCACTCTGAGTCAAGGTTCTTCACTCTGAGGACAAGGTTCTTCATTCCGGCGATAAGGTTCCTGACTCTGAAGACAAGGTTCCTCACTCTGAGGAAAAGGTTCTTCACTCTGAGGACAAGGTTCTTCACTCTGAGGACAAGGTTCCTCACTCTGAGGACAAGGTTCTTCACTCTGAGGACAAGGTTCTTCAATCTGAGGACAAGGTTCTTCACTCTGAGGAGAAGGTTCTTCACTCTGAGGACAAGGTTCTTCACTCGAGGACAAGGTTCTTCACACTGAAGACAAGGGTCTTCAATCTGAGGAGAAGATTCCTCACACTGAAGACGAGGTTCCCCACTCTGAGGACAAGCTATCTCACTCTGATGACAAGGTGGCTCACTTTGAGGACAAGTTTATTCAGTCTGAGGACAAGGTTCTTTACTCTGAGGAGAAGGTTCCTCACTTCGAGACAAGGTTCTTCACTCTGAGGACAAGGTTCTTCACTCTGAGGACGAGGTTCTACACTCTGAGGACAAGGTTCTTCAATCTGAGGACAAGGTTCTTCACTCTGAGGACAAGGTTCTTCACTCTGAGGACAAGGTTCTTCACTCTGAGGACAAGGTTCTTCACTCTGAGGACAAGGTTCTTCACTCTGAGGACAAGGTTCTTCACTCTGAGGACAAGGTTCTTTATACTGAGGACAAGGTTCTTCAATCTGAGGACAAGGTTCTTCACTCTGAGGACAAGGTTCTTCTCTCTGAGGAGAAGGTTCCTCACTTCGAGGACAAGGTTCTTCACTCTGAGGACAAGGTTCTTCACCCTGAGGACAAGGTTCTACACTCTGAGGACAAGGTTCTTCAGTCTGAGGACAAGGTCCTTCATTCTGAGGACAAGGTTCTTCACTCTCAGGACAACGTTCTTCACACTGAAGACAAGGTTCGTCATCCTGAGGACAAGGTTCCTCACTCTGAGGACAAGGTTCTTCACTCTTCGGACAAGGTTCTTTATTCTGAGGACAAGGTTCCTCACTTTGAGTACAAGGTTATTTAACTCTGAAGACAAGGTCCACTCTGAGGACAAGGTTCTTTATTCTGAGGACAAGGTTCTTCAATCTCAGGACAAAGTTCATCACTCTGAGGACAAGGTTCTTCTCTCTGAGGAGAGGGTTCCTCACTTCGAGGACAACGTTCTTCACTCTGAGGACAAGGTTCTTCACTCTGAGGACAAGGTTCTACACTCTGAGGACAAGGTTCTTCACTCTGAGGACAAGGTTCT